ACCAAATCATGTGCTCGTGCGACCAGCTGAGAAAGTTAGTTGCAAAAGAGCAACCAGTGGGAAGAATGAGTCTGGAGCCCTGTATAGGCTATACAGTCCATGAAAAGCAAACTGGTGCTCTTCTGTTTCTTTTGGTGTATGACTCCCCCTTGTCTTGTATAAAAAGCACAATAATCGCGGTTGTCTGAAACAACCGCGGTTAGATCAAATAATCGCGGTTAGACGGTTATTTAATTATCGAGACAGGCCTACTTTTAGATCAGTTTAAAGACTGTGTAAATGGTTAAAAAGATAGCCTTGCAGTATATAAAAAATGCATATACATTTATTATAGTTTCATAAAGCCCAATGTAATCAGCTTATAATCAACAAAACTGATCTCCAAAATACTTATTAACTTTTTTTATATAATGCTTCTATAATGAGACACTTAAAGACTCTTATTTGAAAAGAGACATGGTCATTGTATAACTGTATCATCTACACAAGCCATTGTGCTTGCAACAAATTAATTTGCAACAAATTAAACTGCATTGTTTCATTTACCTTCTGTGGGTAATTGTAAAAGTCTTTGGTGACTACCATATTATTGCTCCTCACATTGATCCCACAAACAAGGAATAGTAATCCTCTCATAGTAAAGTTATCAAAACCAATGGGCAAATTTATTATTATTATTTATATTTAAATGTTTCTTTATCTTAAGGATCTACTCTTTGCTACAATACTTAAGCAAATTTTTTAATAAAATCAAAGACATGAGAAGACATTTACAAGTACCCATAGAAGGTAAATAAACAATGCAGTTTAACTTGTTGGTAATGGTTTGTTTTGACTGCAATAAAAACTCACTTCTGCTGCAATCCGTTCATGGACCTCTGGACTGAGTGACCGCTGCCTCTTCGGTTGAGAACCACCTTCACTGCTTTGGTCAACCAGGGAATGGAGAGAATTTCTGTAAAGGAATAAGAAAATGTATCAATAATAATAATAATAATAAAAAAAAATAATAATAAATGCAAAACAAGGAATACAGCTGCTACCTGATCTTCTGTATGTCCTGCTGGAACTGCTGGATGCTCCCCCTGATGTGGACTGAATCTATGTCCTTCTTCTGGAGTTTGGCATAGAAGTGGTCCACATGTGGCATGATGTTGTGGAAAAGTTGCAGAAAAAAATTAAAATCCTGATCCTCCAGCAGCATGGCAAAGGTTCCTGCCTCTCTGACGGTAACAGGGTCAAAGTCACCTGAGTCTCGTATAGTTTGAAAACAGCAGATGAGGTCCTCTCTGTGCTCAAACACTGAATTGATGGCACGGCTGTGGAAGTTCCATCTGACTCTGCTTGATGTTGGTAGTCTATGGGCAACTACTTTATCAAGAACACCTGTGCACTTGGGTGATCTTGAGAAAAAGCTGGCAAATCCTCCAAGGTCAGAAAAAAAAATTCTCACTTTGGGTATGTGAGAAGTGGCCTGTTGCATTATCAGATTGAGTTGATGTGCATAGCAGTGGATGTAATGGGCATTTGGGTACACATCTTGCATCTTCCTTTGAACACCTGCAGTGGCACCCCTCATCATGCTGGCTCCATCATACGCTTGGGAGATGAGTTTATTCTTCTGATCCTCTGGAAGGATGACAGCAAGACGCTCTTTTAGTGCTGTAGCGATGGAATCAGCTGTAGTTGAACGCAGAGGAATAAATTCAAAAAACCTCTTACATGTAAACTAATTTGCCTTAGAGTATTAGTCGATGTTAAGGTAACACTGTAGATTAGGGAACACATTCACTATTAAGTTTTCCTTCAATAAACTCCAACCTGGGGCCCGTTCTTCTGGCTGAGTAAAACTGGCTGTGTCTATAGTATTAAAGACTACACAACATTATTATATTATCTTTAAATTAATTTTTAAATTATTATTTTAAATTATTGTCCCTGGATTAGTAGGGTACCCTTGTAATAAAGTAGCGTTGGTAACGGACAGATTTTAAGTAACAATTCTGCTTAAAAAGATGCCATCTAATCCTGTTTACATGAAATAAGCCTGCTCCGGAGCAGGTTTAAGCTTATGGACCTGTTGCTATGACAGCAACTCCGGGATGAGCTTCGAAGAACCAAACTATCCAAGATCATGCCAAATCGTCAACAGTCAAATCCAGCTAACGTTAACTGAGTTAGCGACGTACGAAGAACGGGCCCCAGGTGGGTGAAAACTGAACGTGTGTCAGTATTACATGCATGCCTTTTGTCTTAAAGGAACAGCATTCCTAATTAAGTACCTATCCGTGTCATTAATGTTAACCAACAAAAGACGTTAAATAAATATTTTAAGTAAACCTACTGTATCTGAAAAAAAAAATAATAATAATAATTTGTATCTCTTTCGTATTTGTCTTGTTGTCTTATTCTGCTTGTTTTTCAATCATAAGCTTAATTGATTTGGTCTAAAGAGAGAAGAATAAATGACTATTTTTGTTTGAAGACTACATATAAAATAGCTACCAAAATAAATGTTGGTAACTGCAACTTGACTAAAAGTAATGACTAAAAGATGACAAAAATGCAATGACTTTTCGTCGACTAAAACTAGACAAACTATGAAAGACGCAAATGACTAAAATGTGACTATTAAGCATTTTCATCTCAAGATAAAGACTAATGCCCGGTTCAGACTACACGATTTTAGCCCGATTTTGCCACAATTTGCTTGACGTAGGGTGTTGTGGGGATTCGTAAACGACAATGGGCGTCGGGACGCAAGATTCTATCGTTTCAGCACGTGTAGCGTGTCATAGTGGACGACAACCGATTCAGTGTCTGCGATGCTTCACAACATCACGACAGAAAGTCTAGCATGTTTAAGACGACAACCGATTCCACATCTGTGATGCTTCACGACAGAAAGACTAGCATATTTCATTTTTTTTCTGTCGTCCACGACGAGTTCTGTCACATTGGTGATGTTGACCAATAGCAGCACAGATGCTCTTTCATACACGGGTTTCAAACATGGCTAAACAAAAGAGAGATGATGGTGCTGCTAGGTGGAATTATGAGATGGAGGAAAGGTTCGTGGAGCTGTGGCAACAGTACTCCTGCCTGTATGATGTGTCATCGAGGGACTACCACGACAGAACAAAGAAAGAAAAATGCTGGCGAACTATAGCGGAAGCGCTTCAGCAATGTTTACACTCTTGTTTTCGGAAGTCAGTCGCTAGTTCCGCCTTCTTGATGACATCACGCGCGTCGTTAAAGACAGCACGCGATGAATGGTCGGGAAGCAACGTGTAGTCTGACATGTTTCTTGTCCACGACACGACAAGATTCAAAATCGTGTAATCTGACACAGTGACTATCGTGACCGACAAAAATATTGTGTAGTCTGAACCCGGCATAAGACTAAATCAAAAATGCCTGTCAAAATTAACACTGATTGACACACTATTTTCCTATTTAATGCTTTAAAGTTGCTTTGAGACAATCTGTATTGTTAAAAGCGCTATATAAATAAAGGTGACCTGTTTTATTATCCAACAGACAAAAATGTTCATGATCACTTGGAAAAGGAGCATAATTCCTCAACAAGCCACGCTATCTGAGGCATCATTTATGTAGCACAAACTACATTCTTTACTTAAATTCTTCACATTGGGGAGATGGTTAGAATACATAATTATAAGTATGAGCAACAACAATAGTGATTCTTGACTTTGCAAGCACCATTAATAAAATAAAGGACATTTTGGCCTTTGGTTGTCTAAAAACCCAAACACTCGCCCATCTTTTATTTTCTTTCTCTGAATGAATAGCAAGCCAGATCCTTTTGTGTGAGGGCACATGCATTTGGGTCTTAGCTCAGAGGCATCTGGGCCGACAAAGGCTGCATTACAATGTACAAAACTCAATATCACAATGCATCTTGTGTAAATGAGGTAATGTTTCTGCTTCAAAACATGCTAAGAGCAAGATAAAAGTATCTATTGTTGCCTGCCTTCATTGTCATATATTCAATAAGGAAATACTTGGCAGGCAGAGGGCAACCTCAAAGATAACATTGGTCTAAAGACTGCAAAAGACAAATAGCCATGACTGAAACCTCCCACTGCCAGGGGGAGGCTGCTAATAGACTTGGTTGTCCATTTCTTCAGCAACACTAGCACATTAAACTCAGAATGTCAGTATGTCATAATGTTGAGTACACCCCTGAAAGCTTATACAGTATGTGTCACAGTCAAAACTACAACAATACACTCATTGTCTATCGGGATCATGTCTAGTCCACTTTACTGCTCATTCTGGCCAAGAATCAACGTCACCATGTCACAAGCAAATATACTTTTTAATGTATAAATAAAAATAAAAAAAATTGGGTAACATTCAAATTATAGTGCATCTTTACCAAATTTGATGCACTCTATGCATGTGTGTTTATGTGTGAATAAAAGCCTAAAATAAATCTGTTTATAATATAAAGCGATGGGCTGTGTCTTTTCAGAAGACTTAAATTAAACTGCTTGATTCTTTACTTTACTTTTACTTTTAGTCATTTAGCAGACGCTTTTATCCAAAGCGACTTACAAATAAGAAAAAGTAATTAAAACTAAAAGCTAAAACTCTATATAATACTATATATATATATATATATACACACATTTAAGAAAATAAAAGAAATTAAATAAAAATGACAAATGCATACAACATTTCAAAAAAACTAAAACATTTAAATTTAAATTTAGCATTTAAAATACGTTTTTGGATGTGTGCGGACCTTCTCTTTTGCACATGCAACGTTTCACTAGTTTGCTCCCTTGATGCCTGCCCTCAGTGCTCTCTAAATGCCAACAGCTCGCTTGCT